CCGGGGGCTGGCTGGTGGGCAGTGCTGGCCGGGGGCAGTGCTGGCCGGGGGCTGGCCGGGGGCAGGCTGGTGGACTTGGGGGCGTGAGGGACCCGGGATCCCCGGGGTGCGTGGGCGCGCAGCCAGGTGCCCCGACGTGACAGCAGGTCCGGCCGCCCCACCCCCCCGGAAGCTGGACGGGAGAAGGGGCTGCCGACCCAGCGTCCAGTCGCTGCCCCGCCGGCCCGTCGGGAGAGCGCTAACGACGTAATGGGGAACCCTTGTTAACTGGGCGTCACCAAACCTGAAATTCAGCCCTTGCCACTCGGCGGCCGGTGGCGTGACCTTGGGTGGTCACTGCCCCGAGTCGCATTCCATCGGGATGACATTGATGCGGCCGGTGGCAGGGCCTGGCCAGGCGAGAAGCCCATGGCGACTCCTTAGAAGGAAGCACCTGGGAGCAGATGCTTTAGAAAGATCAAGGTCATTGAGACTCCTCGCGGGGCTGGAGCTGAGCCTGTGATTCCATCCCCGAGGGGCCTGCGAGGACCCCGTGTCCAGGGCACCATCCCGGGGTGACAGGTGGCAGTGGGACCGCCCTACACTGCGTTCCCCCCGCCCTTAGTCGGTTTAGAGAGGAGCAGAAGTCCATGGGCTCCAGGCTGGACAGTGGGGGATTGTCCTGCCTGGGGCACTGACCCTTCCCTGGGCATCTTCCCTAACCGCACTGTGACGGCCAGAGCTAGGTAGATGCCGCACCTGTGCCACACCTGTGCCTCCTGGGGTGATGTGAACATCTGCACCCTCATAGGCCAGTACCTGGGACTCATTAAGAGATGATTGTGACAGGAATCGCCCTTGAGGTCAGAGTGTGCCTGGGTCAGCGTGTCGTGGCAGGAAGGCAGAAGCGCCAGTCTGCCACTGCTTGGACGTGCAGCCCCACAGCTGGTCGAGGAAGAAGGGACAGGGACAGTGGCCGATGCGCTCTGGAGACTGTGTGCCAGGAGGCTGGTTCGGACACTCGCCTCCGGGAGATTTGGACACGAGTGGACATCTGCTCCTCCTCCCTCACCCACCACCCTGCAAAGCAGAGCCCTTGTGGGGGAGCCTGAGCCTGCTGACCTCTTACCTCCCCCAGACCTCCTCCAGGACCTGTCATCTGATGACAGACAAGAAGGCACGGGAACTAGAACTTTGATGCGTCGTCATTTTTGCCGCTGGCTGGTGGATACGGAAAACACCAGGCAGGAAAGGTTTCCAGAAACCCTCGTGTTGCTCCTGCATTGATCTGACAGGGAGGACGGGGGCCTCCTCTGCTCTCCGGGTTCTGCTTTGCTAATGACAAGTTGTGCCATGCTGCGCATTAGACACTTTTTCTGTGTGGAATGGCTGTAAAAGCAGTAGTGCTTTTGCAATCACACTCCTTCCACCGCTTCCTCTCGGGGTGCTCAGCCCTCCGGTGATACTTCCTCGTCTTCATTGGTGCTGTGGCTGGCCAGCTCAGTTCTTCTAGAATTTACAGGAGTCACTCCTAATTGGGGGGGTTCCTTAATCGGAACGGTGCCAGGCCAAACCAAAGCAGAGCCCTGGCACAGTGAGGGCTCAGGAGCTGTCCACACAAGTCTCGAGGGGCAATTCAGGCTTCTCTGCAGCTCTGGCAGGGTGAGGGGTCACAAGGGGCTGTCAGGGAGCAACAGAGGGTTTCTGGGAGGTGCCCCGTGGCATGATGTGTCTTTGATCTTGGACAGTTCGTTTGCAGACATTGAATGAGTTTTCCACTTTGTCCTGTGCGTGGGAGCTCTGGTGGCCTACTGGTAAGTGGTTGCCCTGCCACCCTGAAGCTTCATGGTTCAGGTCCACCAGCTGCCCCACAGGAGCAAGGCGGACGGTCTCCTCCTGTGTGGTGGACAGCCTCTGAAAAGCCACCAGAGGGTCAGCTGTGTGGGCTCCGACTCCACAGTACACAGCCACCTTAAGTACGCAGCACACAGCATGAAAGCGCTCGCTGCTCCAGAAGCGGCCTGTCACCTTCACTGAGTCGGGCAGCGCAGCCTGTCCTCAGAACCAGCCGGCCACCCGACTCCCGGGGAGCTCTGCTTTATCGTGGGAGCGGGGAGAGTTTGGGCCAGCTGTGAGCGGCTGTCACCAGGTCATTCTGACCCTGGGCCAGTCACCGAGCCCCCGTTTGTACACACAGAGGGACTAGGGACCTTCAGGCGGACGAGTTCGCTGAGGGAGGAGGCTTTATGGCAGCTCTGCTCCCACAGGTGTTGATGGTGAGGTGCCCGGGTCTGGCGCCACTCATGGAGCTTCATCTCAGCAGAGCGCAGGGCGGCCCTGTCCTGCCTCGGCCCTGGGACCGCCTGGATTGCCCACTGTGTTCTCATGCTCCACATTGCCAGGCCTTTCTTCCTAGTCTATCTGTGTCTGGATGCTGAGCTGAAACCTGTTCTGAATACCAGCAGCCCTTGAACACTGGCGGCTGGCCAGGGGCTGCACAGAAGGGCATTGACCAGGACCCCACCACACCCCAGAGGTACCCAGAGGGCAGGCTGACCCCCGCAAGAACACTGGCTTGGAGGCAGCGTGGCCAGCGTGGTTCTTCTGTCCTTGGAGTGCTTGCTGGGCGGGTGGCTCCATGCCCCTGTCTTGGTGGTGGTGCCTCCGTGCTGAGTGCTGTGTGAGTGCAGAGCAAAGACGCGATGCCACGTGTGCCTCCTGGGAGGGGAGTCCGGCACCGTGTACAGGAAGCCTCCAGCCTTGGTTATTTTTTCCTGATGATGGAGGAAATTTGCTGCATTTTCTAATTTTCCCAGATGTTCTGCAGTGGGGGAAAAGTCCAAGGAAGAATGAGGGCCTGCACGGTGCAGTGGCCACCTTCTGAATGTGCCTGTATTGGTGTCTCTGCTTCCAGGTAGCCTTGTAAGACCATCTTGTAGAGGCCGCTGTTCTTGTTCTCTACACGTCACAGCCAAGTTACTGGGGACTGGGTACGGTCCAGGAGAAGGGAGACCTGGCTTTGTGCCTTGGTCTTGTCCCTGAATATCACTGGTCTCCCAGTCCCTAGGTGGGGACCTCTCCAGGCCCCAGCCAGCTCTGCCTGTGCTCAACCCTGTGGGGTCCAGTCTCTGTCCCAGACAGCCTCTTCCTCACAGAGGTAGGCCGGGCTGACCTGGGGTTTGTTTCTGTGTTGACTGAGTGGGGGAACATTTTCTCCTCCACCAGCCCAGCCCACGCCCATGTCACTGAGCCCTCCTGACTCGGGTGACCCCGTAAGAGGAGGACTGCCCCAGAGGGTTCTTACAGAGGCCGGTGGCCTCATCTTTGTCCCCGAGTGGATGATGGGCTTGAACCACTGACCTTTCAGGCAGTACCATGTGGCTTTAACCTTTACACCATGAGCATTGCTTGCATTTTTTTAAGTCAGTGGTTTCAGTTTTTTATTGTTTTGATAAAATTCTGTGTGACTGTGATCTTGTTATTAGCAGGAACTCTCTGCACTTTCACAGGCTGGTTTATACTCACAGAAAGTTTGGGTTCCATGGATGGGCCTCCCGTTTTAACTTTAATGCAGTTTCCCAGACTTGGCAGGCAGCTGTGTTTTGGGGATCCACACACGGTCGGGAGGTTGAGGAACACCACAGCCGTGAAGTGTGTGGGCTTGTGTGTCCTGATTGTGTGACCTGGGTGGGTGGCCCCAGGCTAGTTTTTAATTTTTACTTAGTTTGTTTTTTTAATTTGTAAAAGAGCCAATTCCTCAGAAGGAGGCCATTAATTACAGACAAAAGCCCCTGGCACTTCACAGGCAATGATGCTCTCCCTCCTCCCTGGGCCCTTTTGCCGTAGTGGCCATGTCACTCCCCTGCAGAAAGCTGGGCATCTCCTGGAAAGATATGCAGCCCCATTGCCCTTGTGGAGAATTGCAAGGAGCTGGACTCCTCAGCAGTGGGGTTTGTGTCTTCTGCCCAAGCACAAACCCCAGTAGCTTATAGGCACCAGATGTTCTCGCCAGGAGCATCCCCGAATGTCTGCCTGTCCAGATCCTTCCACACTTAAAGCATGGTTGTGGTCTCTTCATTTTCTGCAGGGCCTTGCCCACCTCTCATGTTATCCATGACCTTTTCAGTCTTCTCTTCTCTGCCGTCGATTCAAGATGTCGACACCAGTGTCTGCTGTGGCCCCCGGGCTCTCTGGGTGCCCCCTGCCTTCTCGGGATGGGTGCCCGTTGTGTAGAGGATGGTGACTGAACCCTGGCCAGCTTGCAGGGTTTTGTTTACAACCCAGTCTTTGTACAAGTGCAAACCCAGACATCAGACTGACAGGCAGTGCTTGTTCATCACAGATTTCAAGTCTCTAATGCGTGGCCTGAGCTGGGGCAGAGCTGACCCCTCACTGGCCCTGGACAAGTAGTAGCAGCAGCCGGAAGGGGCCGTGTGGCCCAGGTGCCCTGCCCTTTACGTGGGACCCTGGGCTCACAGTTCTGTGATGACCAGGCTGGCTGAGTGTGGCCCCTGCATG